GAATGGCATACCTGCGAAAGTTCCCCGCACAGATGCATGGTCTCAAAAACAAACAGAAACCTGCGGCTCAGCAGCGGTACCGGTACCGCTCTGCAAGCTCCTTACGAGCTCAAGCTGCTCGAGAAATGCAACCATATGCGGCCAGAAGATATTCCAAGCTCTGAACCCACACAAGCTACAGAATACAGAATGTGTCCTGGATCAGCAGCCCATTGCGGTCCAGTCCAACTCGCATAAAGACTTCATCACCTCAGCTCTGAAGACCGCATGCGATGCCTAGCTGCCACTGTGCTAGATGCAAAAAGAGGTTGCGAACCAGATCTGTTATGCGCGGCCCTTTTTTGGCTTCCTCCAATGGGCAAATTTCACATGGCAGATCATGCACGGCCAAGCCACCATCAATGCTCTCGAAGGTGTCAACCTCTGGCAGCGACACGAAAAACAAACACAAAAACAAAGTGGGAAGCCACTGAGAGCCTTGAAAGATGTTCTCTTGCAAAGCTCCAAAAACTTGGTCCTGATGACGTCCTGGTGGCCCAGTGCATATGCAAAGCAAACACTAGCTTAAGTTGTTGAGGAATTGAGGAGGCAGGCCACCTGGTATACCTGCTGTGTCACGGAATCGCTTCGCAAGAGCGCAAAGCCTGTGCAACAGACAGTGCATTTCTTCACCACGGTTGTAGAATGCTGTAAAGCAGCAACTCTTGTATCTCCGAATTACTTTGCTATGTCCTGGCCAGGACACCATCTTCCAGAGTTTGCTGGCCTAAGATGGTGCAGGCGAAGGCTGCCTCCGGAATTTGCCACGCTAACTCGAATTGAAAATCCATTTGCGATCCAGCAGCTGTCAGCATTCATCTTTCGCACAAAGATGTCTTTCGCTTTCTGGAGCGTCACATGCGAAGCACATGTACGGACGAGAGGCTATCTTCCCAAGGTAAAAGATCCCTGAGAAACCATGCCTCGAACGGCATGCTGACCATCTCGTCCTCATCAATGCTGCCTCCAGCAGCCTGGCCTCACAAGAAGCATTAGAGAAATGGCCATTTGATTACTGCAGTGGCTGCTCGTTTCTGCCTTGCCGTGGCCTTGCTCGCACGCTGCAGATCCACGTGCTCAATTTGCATACATCCAAGAACACCCTTCTCATAGGTGTCACGAGTACGTTTTTCAGACTTTGAATTGTGTAGAGCTTGAAACGACAAGGAACACTTGACACTTTGGAGCTTGAAAGTGTGAAACTTTGAAGAAAATGACGATCGACATAGAGTTCGAAAGTTTGGAATTTGAAGTGTAAAAAGGGATTTCGAAATCGAACGCTTGAGGCGAGAGGGAGTTTCGAAGTTTGAAGACGCTGAGATCAAGCACACACGCATGAGACCTGAAACGGCGGGACCGGCTCTCGAGTTCGAACGTCTCAACGGCGTCGAGTTCGGAGTTCGTGCCCCGCTTTTTGAAGCCGTGCAAGCTGGCTTCAAAAGCATAAGAAATCCTACAAGCTTGCTTCGAAGGCGTACGAACCCTGGCCAAACCGATCATGCGAGCATTTACTGGGCGGGGGGGCTGCGCCCCCCAACCGCCCCCCCTGCACTTTTTTTACCCCGCACAAGCTTAATACCAAAAATTAGGTACCTTTCCGAGCCCATCACGCGAGCATTGCGCCACGCTTTTCTTAAGCCGTGCAAACTTGCTGCAAAAGCAGACCAAGCTTCTCCAAACCCATCATGCGAGCAATGTGTTACCAAATCGGGGTGGGCTGCGCCTCCCACAACCCACACGCTTTTGCAAACCGTGCAAGCTTGCTTCGAAAGCATATGTGAAAGCATGTGAATCCTGTCCCTACACGCATCGTGTTTGTAAATGTGGGGGGGGACTGCCCCTGACTGCCCTCACCCCATGCACGTGCACGTGACGTTTTCAAACCTTCAACCTCTCAAACTTTCGAACTCCAAACGTTCAAAATCGTTCAAACATGGGAAACTCTGGAGCTCCTAGCCGTCAAACTTTCGAACTCATATTGTTTCAAACTCTCGAACTCGCAAACTCGAACCGGCGTCAAACCATCGTACTCTCAAACTTTGAAGCAGTGCAATATTCACAATCTTTCAACTCGAACGGGCTTCGAACTTCGAACTCTCAAACTCCAGATCTTTCAAACTTTAAAACTCGCGTCGAGGCCTGCCCGACACACGTATGAGCTCAAACTCCAAACTCGAATCAAACTCTGACACTCTCGAACTCGACCACAGCTCAAACTTTCGAATTCGAGAGGCTTCACATGCTCGAGATCTCATTCTCGAAACTCCGTCGAACTCCGAACTTTCAGCCTTTGAACTTTTTTCAAAGTCGAGATCGCATTCAAAAAGTTGGGGGTTGAGCTTGAGAGGAGACACTCGAGCTCGAGCGTTTAAAGTTTCGAGCTCATGGGTTTGCAACTCTGAAAGCTTGTAAGTTTGAAGATTGAAATAGACTTGCCTTGACGAATGTTCCAACTTCAAACTCGACATGTTAAAACTTTCGAACTCTGTAATCTTTCAACTTGCGAGCTCGAAGGTCTTCGAACTCTCAAAATCTCAACTTCCAAGCACGTCGCTCGTGTCTACTCCGAGCCCTAGTCTGCTGCAACACTTGTACGACTCCGGCACGGGCCTCTGGCAAACACGAAGCAGAGCGCATAGCCCTGCGTGTCGATGAGAAGTTCATTTCCAAACCTGGAAGCCGTCGATCACTGACGGAACTTCGAGTTTTCAATATCACCACCATGCGGCTCACGTTCTACCGCACATGCTGGCATGTCCAGGCACAAATTGATCACATCTTCTGTGCCAAAGTCCTGGGCACTCAAAACCAAAACAGCAGACATATCAGAAGATGTGAAAGGCGAAGACCTGCCTCAGCCAAAGAGCTTGTTTCCGGATCTCTTGCCATGTTTAGGCAGCAGCCACGTTCGTCCCATGAACGTGATCGCAATGTTCCTACACTTGGGTTTGCGCGGCAAGCATGTACGCCCATGTCCACATGACACGTGCACTGGGTGTATTGACCGCCTTGAACCAAGGCTCACTTGAACCAAACTTCACGGACACAAGTTGCGCAACTTCCATCATCTATCTGATTACTATTTTGATGTTTGAATATGGTCTTGAGGATATTTTCGCTCATCATTCGTCAGGTTTCGAATCTCTCTTCTTCTTCGTCTGCAGGCCCTGAAGGACTAGGGAAGAAAACCCTAGCCCTCGCGCACTAAGCGCGTCCAGCACGGTCTGTGGTCGGTGTGGTCGGAAATCACAACATGGTTGGGAGAGAAATCCCCCACATAACAGAATTTGAACACCCCTACCATCACGCGATGATACTCGCTTCCCCCTTTACATACACTCTCTGTTTACGCTTTTAAGTAGACTCTCTCTGTTCCTCAAATACTACATCAAGCCGCGCACGAGCAACCCAGAGTTTTCTGAGGGGGGCCTCTGGCCTCTTAGTTTCCACGTGGTCCCCTTAAGGAATGCAGCAAGAAAGGGATACCACCCACACAAAATGCCTCTCCCGGTCGGGCTCACCCATCTTCTCAACAATGTAGGCTATCCTTGCATGATGACCGACAACACGAAGCTCATCGAATTTCAACACGTTAAGCCCGCTGCATGTGCTCTTCTTCCAGTTGGGGTAGTCGAGCGGTTTCTTTCTCGGTCAGCGGCACCTCAATGGACTCTCGAAAGTGACGGAGAGTGAATGTGACGGAGCGAGGAGCATCCTTTTGGGCAGTAAGGCCAAAGGTCTGGCATGGCCGCGCCAAGGGGATCCAAGGCCCGCACACCGCAATAGGCAAGAATGTGAAGAAAACCTTCCAACGCCTTCACGAAAGGCACGAAGAAAGAAACAAGAACGTGTTCAGAGCACAAAAGAAGTACATCCAAAACTAACATCCGGCTTTCAGGTCGGAGAAGCGCTTCTAGAAGCGCCACGAGAAGTTCCCCACATATTTGCACAGTCAAAAGGGGGCAATGCTTAGTGAGCCCGGAGCGATGCCTTGAGGCGACTCCAATTGCGCCCCATTGAGGATGTCATGATCTCAGCACCATCACCATCAGCAGTTTAAGACCAGCACTCGGATATCTCTCTCGAATGTCTCGTATTTTACCGAGCTCCCGGCCTGGAAGTGCCAACAATCCAGTAGCTGCTGCAACTGCGAGGTAAACGAGAGCAGCAGCCCGAATCGGCACATCGCATCTATGGTGTCAGGGTCCTAGTCTAAGACTGCAGACCTCTGCCTTCTTTAGTCTTCTTACCCTTTGTACTTGCCTTTTCTTGAGAACGTCTTTACCCCCATCCATTCTCCACCGTTTTGCGTATCCCCCTCCCCTCAGTTTGGACGCTGTGTGCGCCTGCGCACCGATGGACTCATCGGAGAGCCTCGCTCTCCTCTCCTGCGCGTTCGCGGACGACACGCGCACCAAAACGGGGCAGGCAGCCAAAAGAGCAAGAGAGAGAGCTCTCAACGAGTCGAAGAATGTGGGAGTTCTGTTCGAGAGCTCACAGCTCTGGTCTCCAGCATTGCTGCCGTTGGAGACAAGGGGCTTCCAGGCTCGCGCGCCATGTCCAAAAAAAGACTGCTCAGATCTTGTTCACGGCTTGTGGTGCGGCCAGTCTGCTTTCACATGCATCATGTTGAATTCGAACGCCCTAGATGCAAAGACTGTTGTACACTTTGGAGCTTGGGGCTTGCGTATAGTGTTTCTGCCAGAACACAGCAAGCTGCAGGAATCTAACTCGCCACATCGGCCACATTGGATCAAAAAATGATAGAGCATTGCAGTCCGTTTTCACGTCCAACTTGCCGGAGTCCAGGTGGTGCTGACCAAAGATCTTGGGGCTAAGTTCTGCGCGGCCTGCCGCAGCCTGCTACTGTATGCAGCCAGGCTCAGACTGCTCCATGAAGACCGTACAATGAGGCTGGAGATTTCTTGGAGACGATGAGAGGAAGCTGAGGTCACTGAGGGTCAAAGCTCGAAGCACGAAGTTTTGCCGCAGAGCTTACCAAAGCGCAGTGGGTTCCTCACTGGCCGACAAAAAACAATCTCAAGACTCTACAGTAAACGTATGAAACTTTTTATGTATAGGCCATATAAGTGTTGAAAAATGAGAACTTGCAGCTAAGCAAAGACCATCTGAGCAACGGGAGCGATGCGTCTTCCTCTCTGGCCTCACCTTGTGGTTGAGAAGAGAGCGCCTCTTCCAAGTGGTTGAATATCAGCCTGACAGCAGCAGTTAGGTTAGCAGCCACTTGCAATACAGCAACCCCACACCAGCCTTATACGACACGGAACTACGGCTGCGGTGCAGCGAAGCCCGGAGTTTTGTGCCTGTTGTTGTAGACGATTCGAGGAAAATCTTTGTCGCTCGGGCGATACTCGGAATGCAGTCCGGCTCGAAAATTTGCAGATTCGGTTCCGATACGCTCAATGTGGGACCTTAGATAAGCTGCGAGGACAACTGACGTGCCAGGTCACTACCTAACACTACGCCTTTCCTTCGAGCATCCTGCTTCAACTTCTAACCCAGCATGATCTTGTGGTGCACTTTGCAACGCTCAATCATGTCAGGAAGCCACGTGTCTTGATCCACTCGACCCTTGAAGGCATGCTTCAAATGGTCAATTGCAAACATCCACGTGTTCATTGCTGCCTCCACCTCGTGTGAGCGCTCTCTCCCGTGATAATTTCTTGCCCCTTCAAAGAAAAGTGCGCCTACCCAATGCAGCAAACCTGGTCAGAATAACAAACAACACAGTACTGGTGGTTCAAGACGCATCAGGGCAATGCTCTCCTTTGCCAGCATCACAGGCACGCAGCGCCTCACACTTTGCCGTCCTCAATGCCACCCAGCCATGGGGCAGGCGAGCTGGCGCGCAATCAGCTGTCCCCGAAATCCAGTGAGGCAGAAAAGCGCGGCCTGGCGATGACTGGATCTTTTGGATCAGACACAGGAGTTTGACGGAAATGAAGTTTCCAGACCCCTTTAGACTTCAAGCCCAGTTGGCTGATTCAGTCTGGGAGCAAGCATCACAGTCTTTACCTCAGAGGCCTGCATTTGATTGGGCATGAAAAACATTGACGGAAGGTGCAGCTGGAAGTTTCGCATCCCTTGAAAGACAGCAAGGACCGGGGTGAGGCAGCCCGGGGCGTGGCAGGGAAGTGGATTTGGGGGGATCTGAACTGCCTTGGCCTGCGAAAGACATGCTTTTTGGGTGCATTTCATCAACCATCGGCTCTCACTGGACGAGGTGGGAGGTCAGCTTTGGGCCTTGGTGTCGGGACACGCGACGGTCGAGGCACTACTTGTGGCATTGAACCACGAGGCAATCCAGGAGGCGAAGATTGGTGTGAATCTAATGCACCAGGGTGAATGTGGAGACCATTGTCGAATGAACGAGTATCGGAGCGCAAACCACCTGGCTTGGAGCACGTGGAACGAGGTGAAGGTGCTCAGCTGGGAGGTCGCATGGATCAAGGGCGAGGTGGAGATGCTTTCGATCAGCCCGAAGCTGCACCAAGCCGAGCGCGAACGCTACGACGCCAGAATCTAGGACGCAAATAACGGGGTTTGGAATGTTTGGACACGGACGGGGCAAGCCTTGCATCCAAGAATTGTGGGGCCAGTGAGGGAATTGGAAGGGCACCGCCTTTGCAAGTTCAGAGAAGGGTGGTCCTCTTTTGTCCTCTTGATTCCTCCCTCCGTGTCGCGCTGGCCATGTAGGAGTGGGCATCAAGGCCAAGTGGGCTGTCAAGGATACAGACAGTGCATATCAAGTGGGGTTCTGCGAGCGAAACGAACAGCAGAGAGTGGGGGTGGGAGGGGTGGCGGGGGGGTGGTGTGCCCACCCCCACCAAGACTTTGAAAATAAAGCTTCCTAGCATCTGCTCGCAAGATTCTCGTTGTTCAGAGTGGTACAATAATTGGTGCATTCATAACCGTCGGTGAGACATGCCACACACCTTTTCCCAAATCAATGATTGCAGTTTTTCCACAGTAAGAACGAGCTCAACAACAGGAGGTTTAATTAGCATCATTATGCAGCCAGCTCCATACAAATTGGACAAATGTTGGGAAGTTTCTTGGGAAGCAGTGAGCATGAAAACCAAGGCATCTACGTTCAAGTAGTTTGCTGGGAGGTGTTGCGAAGGCCCGGAAATTATGAAATGATGTCTGCTCACAACATTCTCCATTTCCGCAGGGGAAAAAGACTTGCCACTCCCCGTTCCCTTTCAGGGCTCAAGGTTTGCCGGTTAACATCATCTGGGCTTGGTGGGTTAAGATCGCCTTGAAAAAATGAGTGGTTGTGGGGATGAGAACGTACTATTCCGCAGCTCGTCTTTCGGGCACATCACCCACGATTTCCACACGTTTTCCATTTAACATTGTAATGTGACCGTTGTCCCAAAATCTATGTCGTTTCAACATTACTTCTCCATTCACGGTTCACCGTAGACGCTTGACTGGAGGAACTCAAGACCCGGCATTCCTGAATAGTCACCGAAACCCCACATGAAACCAGCTCTCAGGTCAAGCCCCTCAGACCTGCACTGAGAGTATCTGACTTGTAGAACAACACGCAACAGAGAGACAATGAGCAAAAGCAGCCAAAAATCATCAGAAAACCATATAAGATGCAATTTAAGGTCCTAGGATGCAGGGCTTGAGGGATTAGAGCTCCCAAACCTTCAACCCGAAACCTCGTGGGCTTGAAAAGCCCCCCCATACCATGGGGTGAAATAGAACCAGTGACCGGTGGAGTTCAAACAACCTGGCAAGTCTGAGCTGCCGGGGCAAAAGGAGACACCTACCGGAGTGCCTTGCCGGCTGTACACTGTGTTGAGGCTGGTAACGCCAAGGGCGCCAAGGTGTTACACCTCAACATGATAGAGGCAATACCCGGAAAGCTTTGCCCGAGCAGGGTATTCTTCCCAGTCTCTGCCTGTGCAGAGAGGAGCTGAAGTCCCCACGTGCCTCATCCTTGCTATTGTCATCACTTTTTGCAAACGCAACGTCCAACAGTGACGACACGAGGATGAAACGGCGACCGGGGTCCGCGGAGCTTTCCAAAACACGCACTTGGGATAAAAAAAATTGCGGACGTGCGCTCATGCAGACCGCGATCTATAACTCAAGACATCGCAAGACCAAAAACTGTTGCCCACATGTAGCATTGATGGAATTAACTGCGAAACGACCCCTCCCTAATCACCCCTTTTTTTACATTGAAACGCTTGCACGTGACCCCCCTGTTCCCAGAAACTTTCAACGATAAACAACAATTCGGATGGGGTTGACGTGATAACTTATACAATATGTCAAATATTTATAACTATATTCGACATATCTAAAAGAAACTAGAAGAGGGATGGCCCGAAAGCATCGATTTGCCGTGCGTTGACTCCATGCACTTGACTCTTTGCAATCGAACTGTATGCACTTGGAGAAATGTATGCCCTTACATGGTTGCATAGTCACTTGTACACTGCACTTGTATGCACTGGAACTGCATGGCATTCAAGTGTGTGGAGTTGAATGCCATGCACTTGTGGTCAACTCTGTAGACTTTTCATCGGCGTTGAAGACAACGCCGAGCTCCAGCGGCCGGTCGCGGCACGCACCTGCGCCGGTGCAAGGAAAGAAGCAAAAACCACACAAGCACACGCGCCCACGTTATTTGCGAGGATTTCGAAGCCCCACAGTTCCGCGCCCACGTTATTTGCGAGGGTTTCGAAGCCCCAGAATTCCGCGCCCACGTTATTTGCTAGGTTTTCAAAGCCCCAGAATTCCGCTCCCATGTTATTTGCGAGGTTTTCAAAGCCCCAGAGTTCCGTGCCCACGCGCCAACGCCGCAACCCGCAGAGGGGTTACGTTTGTTTGTCAAAAAAGGCCAAAACACGATGGTTTTGGCACCGCGCCAACGCCGAAACCCGCAGAGGGTTGTCTGCGGCCACGGAAAAAAGTTCCAAAAACGACGGTTTTAGCACCGCGACCCGGCGATCACCCGCAGAGGGTTGTCCGCGGACACAAAGAAACGTAAAAAAAACGACGGTTTTGGCACCGCGACCACGCCGAAACCCGCAGAGGGTTGTCCGCGGCCACAAAGAAACGTAAAAAAACGACGGTTTTGGCACCGCGACCACGCCGAAACCCGCAGAGGGTTGTCCGCCGTAAAAAAACGACGGTTTTAGCAGCGCGACCACGCCGAAACCCGCAGAGGGTTGCAATCCCGATTGGCGATGTCAACCCAGCCCGCCGCCTTAGAAAGAGTAATTTTAATTTAGAAATCTAGGACTGGGTACGAAGGTCTAGTAAATTCTACGTAAATCTAGAAATTTGTATTCACTGATTACTAAATGCACTCTATGCAATTCACTCTATGCACTTCACTCTATGCACTTCACTCTATGCACTTCACTCTATGCACTTCACTCTATGCACTTCACTCTATGCACTTCACTCTATGCGCTTCACTCTATGCACTTCACTCTATGCACTTCACTCTATGCACTTCACTCTATGCACTTCACTCTATGCACTTCAGTCTATGTTGTTGTGTCAGGGGGCTCCGCACGGAAGAACCCTTCGCGATGCTTTCGGGAAAAATGTGTGTGTGTATGTTTATAGATATTATGTTCTTCATATCAGAGGACGCAAGGTGCAACGGTCTAATGCCTGCGATTTCTGTTTGGGCCGTTTCGCTGTCTGATTGCCTGCATCTGATTTGCGAAGAAAGCACGTCTTCACTCCGTACTGCTGGCCAAATGTCCAGTGGCTGCACTCTTCCACTTCGCTGCAAGCGCGACTGCACACGCTAGCATCAACCGCAGCAAACTTGTCAGTCAGCTTGCAGCTGTTAAGGAAGCATCCAGTGTGGCCGTACCGTGACAAATCTGCGAAGATGGCATTCTGGCCGCCGTGTCGGAGGACCACCCCGCGATGCGAGCAATCCGGGTACGCCTTCGGTGAGAGAGACTCATGAAGATTGCAACAACCTAGAGCTTGCAGCCCAGCCAGCTTGAGCTCGTGAAGCTGAGAAAGTATGAGAGAAAAGACACGACTCCGAAAAACTACAGCTGGGGCTGGGCTGTGGAATGATGGAAGAGTAGCAACATGTAGTTGAATTTCGAGCGGCCAGACTTCCCCATGCCCGCTGCCAAGACACGCCCACCGTTGTCAATTCTGGAGGGACTTCTGCAGGTTCTGCATCAATGCAACAGCGCTCGAAAGTGAAGTCACCGTCCCAGCATCCCTGATTGCCCTGCCAGGTGCAAAGGAGACATGCCAAACATTGCCAAACGAACCGTTTGCTTTGCACATTGAAACTCTGCTGGAAGTGCCCACCTCAGGTCCATACTTGGCGGCACCTTCACTCTCCCACACCAATCAAGGCTGCCCCGCTGGCACAGACTGAACGCTTGTGTTGTGCTGACAAGGAACAGCAAGTCTCCCAGCTAACACCATCCATCCAGCAGCTTTCATCTCCTTTAGAATCCGCCGCAGGCAATAGAAGCACGAGGTATCGCCACATGGGCCATTTCACATGCATGTCATGAAGTGTGAAACAAACGGCTCTGTGTCACACAGAAGAACAACTGCTTCAAATATCAACTGCGATCTTGAGACCTTGTATCTACATGCTAAGCTGCAAGCATGCTTGAAAGGAACCTGTCATCTCTCAAGTAAGGCCCCGCTCATGCAGCCACATCAAATGTTCAAGCATCTTTTATTGCCTGGCGACTGCCGAGAAGTGCGCGCAGCTGTTAGCTGTCGAGTGCGTTAACAACATGTGTAATCGAGCTTCGGTGACCGTAAATCTCTGCTCGTTTTGCAACACTACCAACACAATGACACTTAGTCGTCACTCTCCAACCAATCATCCGCATTGAAATCGAGGTCCTGCCAGGGTCATCCTCCCGTCACTCCCAAACTGCTCCCGAGGTCTGATCTGGAGTATCGCTTCTCTTCTCGTCTCTATGTGTTGAGTGACTAGCATGCCTTGTCAACAAGTGAAAGTAGACACGCATGGATGTGGGACGATCCTCGTCATCCTCGTCGTCCTCCACTTCTCCAACCTCTTCCTGGTCACAGCTTGGCAGCTGCCAAGAGCGACACTCAAAACCTTCCACGGATGATCTACGATCCTCCTGCTTCTGCTTTTCGTCTTCTTCCAAGTCCTCATCACCCTCGACATATTCCAGCCTGGCTACCCCATGCCAATCCTGAAAGATCTCGGTCGAAAGTCTCTCATGCAACTCAGTCCCAAGCAGTGGGACTCGGACGACCGTCTCTGTGGCCTCTCTCTCTAACACCTGCAGAGGACTTTCTGCTGGTGTCAGCCCGTGACATTGTTTCATCCCGTCAGCCTCTGTTCCCCTTGCAACAAGGCCATGAAGGCGACCGTGCATGTACATCAAACCTCTGTAGGAGGCCTCAAGGGTGCACAAGCTGACTTCCTCATTGGCAATGCCGCATATGCCGCCTGCTGGCCCGTAAGCCCGTAAGTGCCAAACGCATCTAGAGCTTGTGGCATCGTGAAGCGGCCTTGGATCTGATCGGCACATGTTCTCCAAACGCACAAATCGATTTCATGAAGGAACCGTTTCAAAAAGAAATATCTGAAGACCGTCTTCTGTCGACACGGTCCGCTTTTGTCCAAATTGACAACTAGGCCGTATTCGGACTTCTTCGCGAGCCCTGTAACAGGGATCCTCTGCAATCCCGACATGGACATCGGGTTCTTTCGGAGTGTATGAATGAGCTTTCGCCCACTGCATCACACAAAAAGCAATCAGATTGCCCAAATATGCTGTGGTCAAGCACTCAAGCCCTCAATTGCCCGTAATTTGTGGTGCCGAGCTGCCGGAGAGCATCTCTAAGCGCCGGATGCGAGCGTATGAACATACCTAAAAATGGCGTCGTTGATTCTCGAATGCGCACTTGTCATCTTCTGGGCGCACCATGGTGAAAAACCACCCGCTGTATCCATGCGCAATACACCTTCGATTCGAGCACTCAGTTGCACTGACTTTGGATGTACATCTCGAACGCATTGTTGAGCAAATCTGCCTGGCCCTCTAGAGGCTTCTCCAACAATCGCTTCGCCTGAAATGAAGCAAAGATGAAGGGAATTTTCGCTGCGGAAGCCCACGAAGCAAACGCAGGATGCCAAGCTTGACACGCACTCTTGGAGCAGGTCAAAAGCTTCAGTGCTCGACAGCTCCAAAACAGACGTGTCCTGCGCATCGTCGAGGCATGATGCTAAGGTCCGGGTTTCAGGGTTTGCGCTTTACATGGCTTTACGTTTCGTGCTTTGCAATTTCGGGTTCCAAGCAGTATTTGACGCGATTGTCTCTGATTTCAGGCACTGATTTCAACGGTGGAAAGAGGAAGTATGTTACCAAGCTGTCAACATGACAACATCGACATAGTGCTCAACTCTTTTCCCGCGCAGCCCCCTTCATGTAGGAACTTCGAATGCCAAATGGTAACTTATCCAGCAGCGATGCAGGCACCGCAAATCGCAAGCCGAGCAGTGATGTTTCAGGCTGTAGCGTTGCGGCTTGCAAATAGTGGCTTGTAAATTGTGGCTTGCACATGCACATGCGGTGTCCATCATGTCTCGGTCTTTGAGCAGCAGTGTCTGATCAAGCGCACTGCTGTCCTGACAAGGGTAGCAGACTTTCAGCTGAGGTGTGGCATGTGTCATGAATCTGACATCGGCCTTGGACCGCAGCCCCTGTCGAAGAACTGGAGCGAGAGAGAGATTGCTTCCTGGCATGGGTGCACCATAGTCCACCCTCAAAGCGCCCTCGGCATTGGCAGCCTGCCGTCTCCGGGCGGCTTCCAGGAACGGCCCTTAAAACTTGGATCAGGCAAGGTTTACATTGTGGCACGTGAAGGCTGCCCTTTACACATTGCTGAAAACAGGCACTTGGGCTCATGCATTTTGGCCCGCTTCCCGCTCACCTGGTATGCCCATCTCCAGCTGGACAAGAGACTATCCCTGGTCTTGTCAAGACCACCAGGATGCAGGCAAACTCAGAGCAAATGGTCTCATTGTATCTCATTGTCATGTCTGGCTACTCCAGCTTCGTTACCCTGAGCAGTTGAAATGCTCCATTGCTGGTGCCCCACAGATTCATGTTGTAATCGACCAGCAGCACACTACAATCACCGGTTTGCACAGCTACACACAGCTGCTTTTAGCCGTGGGCCCCTTGAAAGCCTTGGGTTGGTGCGGCCTGGAACTTTGGCTCGACGTCTGTCCTGTCCCTAGCAATGCAAACATAACTTGTTCTCCGGGAGGCATCATGCTTGTTTGTTGCCGTTGCTGCTGTTGTAGGGGTTCCTGTTTCTTTCTAGGAACTCCGACCTAGCCGGATGCTCCGGGTCCCTGGGCTGCTTGTCTCCGTTTGTCTCCCTTGTCTCCCTCCATGTGGGTCCGTGGGCTGCTTGTCTCCGCTTGTCCCCAAACTCATTTAAGGGATTGCCGGCATTCTGGTGAGCATTGCCAGATTCCTGGGCTCCTCGTCTTGTCTCCCTTCATGTGGGTGGCCTTTGCCTGGTTCCTGGGTTCCACATCCCTTTGTCTCTCTTCGTGTGGGTGGCCTTTGCCAAATCCAGTGCTCCTTGTCTCCCTTTGTCTCCCTTTGTCTCCCTTTGTCTCCCTTTGTCTCCTTTTGTCTCCCTTCTGGACTGTTTGGGGTCTTCGGTGGTGTGATTTTTGTTACTGTTCTTCGAGCCTGTTTCTTCTCGGCATGCCTTCAAGGCCAATATAGGCCAAGCCATCTGGAAATGCTTTTCTCTCCAACTCACGATGCACGCGGTCACAGAACAAAAAGGCTACTGACAACCCGACAAAGCAATGCGCAAGAAAGAAAAAGCATCCAGCCTCAAAAAGGCTGTTTCGAAGGATCATGTGGGTACACAATGTTAGACACCCGACCCCAGACCCCTCATGCTGATGGAACGAGGATCCACGTCCCGTTGTGCATCAGAGGCAATCATGGAGGGTGGGTGGGGAACGAAAATAGTGGACGTGCGACTGCTCAGCTTGGTCCCCAACAACTGCAGCAGCACAAACACGTGCCAACTTCAAGCTTCACACAGACACCTACCCAACCAACCCACTAGTTTGAAGGTTGTTTGAAAGCATACGAAACATTGCGAAACACCGCCTCCATCTTGGTGCTGGCTTTCGGTCTTTTCTGCCTTGACATGCCAAAATGCAGTTTGCAGACTCGGTGCCAGAAAGGGATGTTGAGGAATCTGAAATGTAGCGAAACTTGTCGAAGCATCCGCTGAATCCGCTGAATCTGCTGAGCTGCCGGCTGGTGCGGAGCAGTCTCTGCAGGACCAAGTACCGTAGCCCTTTGCTTTGCCTGCCAATCCAGAGAGCCAAAGCTCCCATGAATTCCCACGAGCCCTCGCAAATGACGATCCAGCCCTGAGCTTGGCGCTGTGACTCCTTTCGCCACGTCCTTGAATTGATCAGGCTTGGACAGGCTTGGGTGGAGAATGTTAGCGCAAAGCATCTCACTTCCATCACTCCATATTTCCGGCTACTAAACTTTGTTTCGAGGCTGATTTGGGGTGCTCATCATATGCGGTGCTATAGTCACCGAAATCCTGACAGCTTCGAGCCTCCGCTGAGGTCGACAAATTGGTGTTCGTCATGCACAAGCAAGTTCGACTTCGCCCTCCGAGAGCTCCGCCTCTGCCCGGGCTTGCCCCGCAGATGCAAGAGCCTCCTGGGCGGCGAGCAGGTCTTGAGCAGGATACTTCAAGGATGCTCCAGGGAAAAGCCGTCAGCTTGCGATTGTGACTCTCGCCAGCTTAGGGCAAGGCAATGACTGCAGCACCTTTCTTTGACTTTGGCGGGGACACCTGCGCGCATAATGTCGGGTCCACTGCACGCACCTCACGATTCTAGCAGAATCCGGGATGAGACAAGTGCGAAGATCAGCAGACAAAACTGCAGAACTTTACTGGCACAACAAAGCAGGATGGTGGACGTGGAGTCGGATCCAGTTGGCTTCTCTGCAGGAGTGCTGATCCAGAGGCTGGATTCGTGATACATTCGCGGTGCGGATCGCCAAAAGAATGAATACCTTTTCTGTGAACTCTCGCATCTTCTCGCAGGAGTTCTCTTGGCTGCTCATCCCATGCTTCGCTTCGAGGTGGGCTCTGACCTTCGGCTGCAACCCCCGGTGAACTGCCGGTGGAGTTGGGACGAGTGAGATCTACTCCTTGATCTTCAGCAGAAGCAACTCGGATGAAATTGTTTGCAGCACGTTGGTTGGCCTTTTCCGATCACCGAACTGGTGCTGTTGGGCACTGCGTGCCGTTGTACGCCAATCAACGCACCTTCTTGTAGTCTCTTGAAGCCTTGGCGGAACCGCGCAAAGCGCGCGGCCTATCGTTCCTCGTCCTTCAAAATGACGTCTGCAACGTAGACCAGGAGTGGAAATGAAACCGCCCATTCCACCGAGATGGCAAGCAGCCCGGACCTGACAAAAAGCTCGTGCCATTCAAACAGATCTCGCATTCCACAAGCATGCAACCCCTACGCACATGCACATCACATGCAATTAAGCTGCGACCTTGAGATATCCAGGGCTCCGAAATGCTCACCACCAGCATATGCCGCAGGACCGAAACATGCTCCCAATATCGCACAGCTTGCCTTACTTGCGATCAAGCGGCTCTCTAAGAGAGAAAGGTCAAAAATCAGGAAGAAGGCTACCTTTACCTGAGTGCCCTTGCCATGTAGGGCTTGAAGACTGGAAGATACTCGGCCTCCGCTCAGCCAGCGTATTGTTGCGGCATGTGCTGATGTGCTGTGGCAGGTGTCTAAATGTGTCTAACCATCAAAAGATGGCAGAGCGAGGTCAGACGAGTCACGACACAGCCGAAGTTCGCCCAAAGCGCCACAAACCAGACGGGCAAGAATCCTAGAGCCGGGGCATCCGATGTGAAAGACATCGTCCCGAAGGCCACCTCCCAAACAACACACCAAAAAGTTCAACGTGATGAAATCCGCACCCATGCCTGAAGAGAATCCTTAGTGAGGCTCAAGGTGGCGGAATGAGGAGCAGCCCTTCACATGACATGTTCAAGGACTCAAAGCATCAGTGCTGAGAGGGGTCGAGAACCAGTCCGATCAAGACGTACAAGACAATGACCTTGCAGGAAAGTCTGTTGCTGACCCTTTCCCATATCCTCCACCAGAAGTCCAGGATAAAGTTGAGGCAAGAGGCCAGGAGTAGTTGAAGACGAGAATCAGATGTGAGCAGTGCGATCGCTGCCAGCATGGCAACTGCCATGGGCCCCTGCCACGGCTGCTTGGCTTGTGGGCTCAGTGCGCATGCAAACCTTGGTCCAAGTGAGCGCAACGGAAGCTTCACAACATTTCACATAAGCAAAGGCAGCTCCAAGTGCCGACATTGCCGACCCCCCCAAGTGCCAGACCAGCAAAGGTTGCACCCAATGCATAGACAGACACAGCGAGCCTGCAACAGCTGACCCAGAAGCACTTCTCAAACTCCTCTCCGACTGCAAGAGCTTGTGGCACTCTTGAGGCGTCGGCGATGGACGCAGTGGACGCACTGCCTTTGTAGGAGGGCAAGGCCGAGACCCAAGATGCTCCGAGAACTGAATATTCCAAAGTGCATCTGAGGCAACGACTTTTCGTATCCTGAACCAATGGTGAGGCTATGCTGGGGCTCATGGAGCCAAGCAAATGACGCCAGCGTTGCTAATCTGCTGCCCTGATTGCCCAACTTGTGTAAGCTGAATAGCTTGAGCCGAAACTGTTGCTGCTGTTCGTATGCAAGCAGAGCGAGGCAACACAGACCGTTCCAGATACCCCAGCGAGCACTGATGCCCACCTGTGCAAAGGAGGGTCTGGCGGCAGTGCCGTGAGCCACCACCAACATCAGCCTCTGTAGCTGAACACTGCTTCAAGCATCGTGTCACTGCAAACGCCACTTCCAGTTAAATAGGAGCCCAACAAGCTGTTCATGCCAATCTGTGCACCTCAACACAAGCACTCTGACCAGAACAAGACGAAGAGTATGCTGCAGCACAAGTCTGCCAACGGTTCACTTGCACCTCGGGAACATAGGACCGTGCCTCCCAGCCTTCAATCACGTGCTTTCAATGATTTTGCGAGCAAACTCCAACCGCTCTTCGGCAGGAGGGATGGGCCCAGAGGTCCCGGCTCGGTGTTCGAGACTGAAAATGCCGGCGCAACCTCGCTGCGGCTACAAACTCACGCTACTCACGCTAAGCCGCGTTGATGCCAAGCTGCTGTTCGAACAAGCGCGTCCGATCCTGGCTGTTGACAAGACTTGCAACGGGATTGCACGTCTGCTGGATGCAAACAAGTGCAACACCGCCTGCTTCGAAAGCCCAGCATGCAACGATTCGGGGCCCGTGGCCAACCACAAGTAGCCGGCCGCCTCACGTGATGTGACCCTGACCACGAAGGGGTCAGCATAAAAAGCCTGCCTGCATCCCTTTCCCGAGCCACTCGAGCTTCTTTCACTCGCTCATGGCAAGTGAGGACCTGCACAATCACGCAACACGCAACAAGACGAAACCTCCACACCTGCTCTGACAGCACACCTTGGTCGAAGTCATGGGCGATCGTTTGCCTTGACTTTCTCCTCTGTACAGCAAGCATGAATAATATACATATATATGTATGTATGTAAATACACATTTTGCTCGACTACCTGCCAATCAAACGTTGAAGGTCGCAAAACTACACTGCGATCATGCTAGAGGATGCGGTCCTTGTTCTTCGGGGCCGGCATCAAAAAAATCAACCTCAACTTTCCCATGAAAGAGCGAAAGAGAGAGCTGCTTCCACCGCTTCCACCAAAGACCTTTTCGAATCGGCCTGCATCGTGCCATCTGCAGCCAACGCCAGCAAACGACCCTCGAAGCTGCAAAGATCCACGTGCGAAGAGCCGCCCGCTGGCGCCTTCAAGCACCTGTGAGCCTGCAAAAGCAGAATTAGCAACAAGGTGCTGCCGATTCTTTCCTTGATGGACAATAATGGACACGCCCGCTGCTGCCTTGCGCAAGTTGGACAAGCTTGCACCGGCAGCTGGCAAGCGCCACAGCTTCAAAGGGGCTCCCAAAGAAGAGCTCAGAAGCCATTCGGTCGCGGAACACGAAGTGGCCAAGCCAGAAACTGCATTCCTCAGGGCACTGAAGCTTTCAAGCTTCCATACGAATGCACAAGTTCCATGATGCTAGATGACAAGGCTCCATGCGCAAACTTTTGGAGCCTGCTGAAGCAACAAGAGAACAAAAGCAACAACAAGCAGGCAACAAAGCCGAGCATTCACTCCTTCACTCATTGATTCATTGATTCATTCATTCATCCACTCATTCAGTCATTCTCTCATTCATTCATTCATTCATTCATTCAGTCATTCATTCATTCATTCCATCGCACGCGACTGTGTGCCACGCCTTGGCAATCCTTAATGTCTACGTTGAGAGCCTTCCTCGTCGCTGAAAGTCGGCAAATGTCCTGCTCTGCTGTTCCCAAGAAACAGCACAAAGCCGGTAGAGCCAATGTTGGTTCACAGAATTTCGCAGCTCAGCTTGCTGTTTTGCTGAGCGGGCTGTTCCGCTGAGGCAGTCCTGCTGAATGTCATGGAAACATGATGTATCGGGACGTGAGAAGCCCCTCCACCTGCTGAAGAAGCACGCATGTGATCCGTCGATCTGCCTGTGTTACGTGCTTGCTGCACCAATGAAGATCGATGTAGCACCCCCCGCCCACGTATGAACCCGATGGACCAATTCAAGGGACGCCGCGGGCACACGCTGCCCCACTGAGCCTAATCGCCTGGCTGGATTAAAGCTGTCCTGCACGACCAATGTGGCGATATGCTGATAGCTGCACCCAGGGACCCATGTTTGGCACATCAGCACTCTCTGAGGTTGACGTCCCGAGGGTGCACGCGGTCAGTTCTTAGCGAGGCCTGCAGTGCTCTGTGGTGTCTCGACGCTCCGTAGCTGCGTGTTTCCCAAAGCATAACTGGCACGCATTGACGAAGTGGTACCTAGCATACATTTTGCACCCTTGGTACTGTAGCGGAAGCAGATGAGCTTGTCGTCCAGCGTCCGACCAGCTCCACCCGAGAGGGTGCGTTAGTGTGTTTTGTTTGATCCTGACAAAGCATTCTGTCGCACCAGGTGCTCAAGTCTAACCAAAACCACGAGCTCCCCCCTCTATCTGGTAAAGGCGACCCAGACAGCAACAGGAGCAAAGCTCTTTCTGAGGCCAGCACTTCCCACTGCAAAAGGAGCTTCTGGTGACGCCATCCACCAGTCCGATCTCCAGGATGTCGGGCAAGCCGGAACATGCAGCGAAAACTGTGCCCCTGATGGCTGAAGGAGCTGCCAGAGCTGAAACGCCGCAGTCAGCACCGCTCGCCAGAGCATGAAAGGCCTTAGACGCAAGTGATTGTGCAAATTGCAGTGCAGAATTCCATATATACAGACAGGCAGTGACATGCAGTGATATATGCAGATGTTGATCGAGCCTGGGCAGGGCGACCGAGCAATTCTGCGGATGTTGCATCCCAAGATTGCACCCGGCCGCTGGCGCAGCCGAGCACCAGACATTGCCCGGCCTTCCACAAAGCTTCTCATACCGTCACGCAGCATTTCTGGTGCCGTTCCACTCTGCCTGCAAGCTCTTGTGGGGGCTAACCCAACAAGCTGCTGTATATGTCTCGTTCTCATCGTTATGGTACAGCTCAACCGCACCTTCTCCTGAAGCTGACATCACTCTGCAGCACCGCAAAATATGAAGCGACTGCAGTCCATATGCAGCGACCGCAGTCAAACAGGCTAGGCCGAAGTGCAGACAAAGGTCTTTCCCTCCAAAGTTTCCAACGGCTGCCCGTGCGTACCAGGAGGCATCCTACCTCCTCCGACCACTTGTTCGATAATTCACACTCACGGACACTCACATGGGCGCTCCAGCACATGATGCACATGTCAGTCCTCGGGAGCAAACAAGCATGCTCGCAAGGCAGACATTTACAACATGGGCATTCATGAAAGTGCTGCTCAAATGGTGTCTTATGCATTGGATGGGATCTGCCATGCAAGTCGCGCTACCATGTTCGGCGCATGGATTCGCAAGCGGCATAAAATTCTGCAGGCTTGAGATGTGCGGGCAAGTCACATCAAGTTCTGTCACACAGAACGAGCAAGTGCTCTCACCGAGTTGGTTGGGACGTGTCATGCTGATGCACGAAGTTTCGGACGCATGAGGTGGGGCAGGGTCCCAAAGTACAGTTGCTCCGTTCCGAGCATGATCACCAATGCGCCATGGTCTTCCGATCTACTTGTTGGTCTCGGCGAGTGGGTCGAGAGGGGCGCACGGAAGCCCGTTTTGGCAGGCGGAGGCAGCCATTGCCGCTCCTCGAAGAGCGCGCAATGCCACCGGGCTTGAGTGAGTAAACTGCTGAGGCCTTTGGAAGCCCTGACTTCTACCTTGGAGGTCAGCATGCACTGGACCTGACTCGGCCGGAGCCCATGGCAAGTTCAGGCGATGACGAGTCTCAATACCTTCAGCCGTGGACAGGTACAGTGACCGCAGGGACCCTCCGTTTTCTGCCTGCAGCTGTCTGCACACGTCCATTCGCAATCTGGGGTGTCTGCTAGCAACCGCCCCCACTAAGATGAAACCAGGCCCTCTGCAGTCTCGACCCGAACAGATGAGGACATTGCACAGCATGCACAGCTGAAATCTAAAGTCTGCCTCCTAGTCTACTTCCATACTTGTTCCGCAAAGCTTCATTTTCGGGCATCAGGAGCCTTTCAGGAACCACATGCTCAGTGACCTGGCAGGACGTTGATACAACGCGTCGCTTAAAGTGTGAGCAGGGCACGGCAAGCTGACTGTGAGACTGTGCCACAAATTCCAAGCACTGAAGCGGGCCTAGTCACCGAAGCCCTTCTTGCCTTTTCCTTTCCCCTTCTTCTGGCAAGCGTAAGGCAGGTGTGTCAGCTTTGAGCATGGCAAACAAGAGGACTGTTCAAAGTGTTGCTGGCGAGTCTTGCCTGGAATTTTGCCAATGCCCCAGACTTCTTTTCCTCCTGCACCCGGGGGTGCAGAGCCACTATCTGTGAAGCATGGACTACAACACTTCAGCGGCATTGCAGAGCTGAATGCTCTGCTTTCCTTCAACTGCATAACCACACAAAGTCATCATAACCTGCAGTGGGCAACCCTTACTCATCGCCTTTTGAGGATCCGGGGGCTGGGGAGTCCACAGATCCGTAACTTCAACGTTTACTAGGGGTTACTAAGGTATGCTAGGCATAAGTCTCCTCACAGATGGGCGACGTATCATTTGCGTATATTTGCATGCAAACTCTCGGGCTCCTTCGCTGGTTCAGCAAGTGGTGGCTCTTGCACTGGCTCCTCCTTTCGCGCATGTGGCACATGGCACAACATCACGAGCATCACAAAAAAATGAATCAAGCGTAATCCCAACAGACCTACAAGCGAGTCATGTCGCAATGCATGTCGGTCTGCAGGGGTGATGCTCGATTTCACTCATACTCATACCGCCAAAACAGCACGAGTGGACAGGCGAATGTATGCGAGAATCGCCAGCCAAGACTGTTCAGTGGCATGCCATTATGCAAAACTGGTGACATGCTTTGATCTAGGGTTCCTCCAAATCACGACCCCTTCGCCTCCCGGACTAGGGATTGCTCATTGCTGCTGTGTCTTGCTGTGGCTTGTCTTCGTCCCATTTTTCCATGCAGACAGGTCGGATCATGTTAACACGAGGTCGGCATCCATACACGTGAAGCAAAATTATGAAAGGGTCAGCAGTCCGGCACGGGACCTTCTGCCACTCTCAAGCAAGGAGTAAAGAAAGAACTGAAGCAAGGAAACATGGTAGCAACTTGATACATCGGGCACAGCAGTGGACTCCGGCAGACTCGCGCGCAGGCTGGAGAGTCCGCTTCCAAAGACCTGGCATCATCAGCCAGGTTGCATTGTGCGACAAGCTCCCACACGACGTAATGCAAACACACCTCTGGCGCGATCGGAGCTTCATCAATGTCTTCAACATTGAGTTCAATCTCCTACCCAATCACCAAAGACCGAATGCAGAGCTTCTTTCTTCTGCAGACATGGGATGGCAGGCTATCTAGTGCAGCACGTCCTCCGTGTTGCTGGCCATTGGGGCAGCAGGTCCAGAAGCTTCTGCGGCCGGGCCCTCATCCTCATCATCGTCCTGCAATGTCGTCTTCGAAGCAGCTCAACTGGGGTAGGTTTGGGGGCCCTATACAAAGAATATTTCTGTGGCTTGATGAGGATCATATAGGGGATTAAGGGCAATTAAGAATGTATATTATGTTCAAACCTACCCCTGCCAAGAGAGAATTGTGCACACCCTGTGTGACACTGTCACACTGTCCAGATCAAGCTCGATCTCTTCTGGATTGGTCTCTGCCGCCTTCCGCTCAGCAGCAAGGGCCTGTTTGCACTCGGATGCCCGCACTCGGAAGCCGAGTCACAAGTCTGTTAATGTCTGTTAGAGGGAGCCTTTCGCTCAGCTGCCGCTGCCGCAGCGGATCTTGCCTCGATTTCCCGCAAGGAGGAGTCCTGCACACCAATGCAGAAGTGAGCTGGCTCTAAGCAGCATCAAGCATCTTAGCTGAAGTGCCTCGTAGTACCCCAAGCCTTTGATGCCAAGCTTGAACATGAAGCCATCCCGTGCTCCCTGCAATCGTGACGCATGAACAGGATTTGCGTTTGAACCGCAGGCCATGGATTCTTTCGGGCATTCGTGGCCCCCAGAGTGGGTTCAAAAACCTCAGCACCCCGAAACCTCTACAACCCTCAGTTTGCTTAAGGCCCGGCACGGGCACGGACATGGCCGCGGGCCCCGAAGCAAACGGGCGCAAAGCCGAAAGCACTTGGATCTGCACCAGAAAACTTTCGGTGCTTCTCGAAACCCCATATGGGTGTGTTTTAGTCCTGCACGATGTGCTGCATGCATCAGCACATTGTTGACACAGTAGCATGCGCCGAGATACACCCAGTCTTCCAAGTGCACCCACACCGACAACGCGATGATGTCAATATGACCAATGCACCCAGTATGTCAGCTCCCGACAGGTACTTCTGCACAGTTTCATCCTCCCTCTGACTTTCTGTGCTCTTGCAAGTTCTTCCCCCATCCTTTAAAACTCAGCCTTCAACCATTCCGGAACGAACAATCATTGCCGGAGCGCGCCCCTTTCATCACACACTTTTGTTCATGTGAACAAAGTGAACACGTGTCTTTTTCACCCTTTCACGCTGTAGGTAAAAACCCATTGTAATACAAGTCGTCAGAGGGGCTTTAACACAGGATGAAAAGGCCCATCATGCTAACACTTATACCCCGGCAAAATAATATACTTAAAGGGGAAAAAGACGGAACTTATGGTGAACTTGCTACAGGAGCTGTGGGCTCTTCACACGCGAATACAATGCTTTTAACGCGCCTTTCATTCACAAACTCATTCACGCTTGTACGTACTAGTAAGAATATCATATTCACGTTGTCCTCTTTCTCTTCATTCCAACATTCAAACTGAACCGCCGAAGAAAAACAAAATAGAACTTCAAACATCTTCCGCACGTAAAGAGCAGGTGCTCCTCGGCAGTCAGCAAACAAGAATTGGCTCCTCCGAGAGGGCCGTAAAGGACCCTTGAAAGGTTGCCACTGAGCTGAAGGCCTTGGGCTTTGAGGCTTTGGTGGGGTTGGTTGAGTTTAATGCTTTGGGTGCATATGGCTGAACGCTGGCACCCCCTCAACCGAGCGGAAAGAAAATCATGCTTTGGCCAAGGTTCTTTTGCGAACGATTGCCATTACCATGAGTTGCTGTGCAGCCGATACGGCGCATTTTTTTGCCAGAATACTGAAAAGGAGGAACTTCCCGCGAAATTCCCGAAAAGAGTGTCCCGAGACCATGGAGGTTTTCGGGTACGAGTTTCGTTCACGCCCCAGCGCTAGAACCAACACTGATATGGAGCGGCGGGATTTCCACAAGCACATACAGTATTTGGGAAAGGCTCAAAGTCCGCGCTTTGCATTGAAGTTTGTTTTCGCAGACGTGTTGTCGAACGAAGAGCCGAGCGAGTACGCATCGTGCTGCGGCAACTTGGCACCTTTCAGCCCAGGTGGATGCGTGAAGCGTCAACAGATAAGATCACCACCCTGCCCAAAACAAACATTGCCAGGACTTGGGCACTGGGTTGCGCATCGACACTGGCCAACAGCGAGGTGCAGCAGCGTGCTCAGTGTGGCTCGGAGTTTGTTGAAGGCCTCAAAGCTTTCTGCGGGTTCGAACTTGCCGAGCAACTCCTCGACTACAACAAGATCTGAAGGAGAGCAGCAGGCTTTCATCCGGCAGGCTGTCAGTCCTTCCGCGCCGTCTCAGCGTCAGCGGTGACTCTCTGACGCTTTGCATCCGGGCCCAATGCGCCACCCTGCACGAACTTGCAGCTGCATGCACTCATACTAAGACAACTGCATGTCAGCTCCTTGCGCTTTCTTTCCTCCTCTGTCTTCATCTCTTCCTCAGCCGCCTCAGGATCCACGACATCGGCTCCGTTGATTTTGCTAAATTTGCCGAGCATGGCACCGCCATAGGATCGAGGACCTCACGCCCTTCCACACATTCGGCCAGTGAAAGAATCAATGAGAGAACTGTTCCATCACCTGTTTCGGCAGCAATATCGGTGGCGTTGAAGTGGACCTGCTGCGGCACTGCATCACACCGTCGCAACACCAAGAGTCCAAACATGGTGCTGCTAAACACTAAGGTTTTTGAGCACGCATGGTCTGCACCCCCCCACCCCGTGAACACGCGTTGCACACAAATGGTTCTTTCATGTTCTTTCTAGATTCTGCAACAGGCTGATGTCACATCGGCAACAAAGAAATTTCTCTTGGAGGCATACAAGGTTGGCGACACTGGCATGCGCTGCAAAAGCTGTGCAGCTAACTAGCAGGGCGGTAGACTGAGAAATATCAGAAGTAGACCGCGTCGAACTACGTCGAAACATGTCGAAACTGGAGCCGCCTGAGAGAACATGGCCTGGACGCTACGCTTGATTCGAAGCATGTCACGGAACCTAAGTTCAAGCGTCATGCACGTGGGAGCACGACAGCTCATGAGCTTGCACAGGATAAGGCACCCACGTATCTTCATTTCCATGCTGCACTTCAAATCCACGCCAAACTTTCCAGAACCTGCACATGAGCGAAATGTTGGAGTGCGATGTCAACACTGCTTACAGGGTAAAGGAAAGCATCTTGGGCATCTACTCCTCTTCCCGTCGGGGATCGCAGAACCTTGGCGTCAGCTGAGGGAAAACTGACAGCACCATGAGGCTCTTGGCGAATCTGCGAGTTCTTGGGCGCACACTGAGACGCATGCTCCTTGCTGTAGTCAGGCGTTCCGGCTGTGCTTGTTAACTTTTGACTGTTTTCTGCATGGCTACACATACATATACATATGCAAAAAGATACACATAGACACATATACTTAAGCGGATACATATACATACAAAGATATACATATACATCTACACAAATACATGTATGAGTACTAAACGACTCGATAAAATAGGTAACGGCGCCTGTATTCGCAGGCATCAAGCAATTTCAACTTGACTCTGCAATTTGGTTGAAGGACATATCAACCAACCAAATGGCAGACTTTGCAGTTGAGGGTTTTTTGTTTTTAGGGATGCCGCGTGCACGAACTCTGCACTCGCTTTGGCGCCTTCCCAAAAGAGGATTCCCTGACTCGTCGGGCTATGATGGGTTCTTGGCATTGTGGCCTGAGTTTGACAGTTTTGGGAAGTGTCGCCCACTCAAGACCTCTACCCAATATGGCAGTTGAGGGTTTGGAAGGTTTAGAATGCCTGTCAACCCAGGAAATCGCAGAGTCAAGTTGAAAGTGCTCTAGAACCAAAAAACATCAGACGTCAAGCCCTTCAACTTCTCTCTGCGATTCTTTGCTTGAAGGGCATCTCAACCAACAAAATCGTAGACAAGGTTTCGGTTGAGGGTATAGGAGGTTTAGAATGCCTGTCAACCCCCAGAATCGTAGAGTAAAGCTGAAAGTCGTTTATCGTCCTTCGATGTTTTACGAGCAAAACCGCAGACATCAAGCACTTCCAACTTGAAAAAGACATCCTTGAGAGCGAAGAACTTCTTTGTCAAAAACATTCGCACAGTCAAGTTGGAGGTGCTTCAAATCATGTGAAGAATTTCTTATTTGCATTATTATTGCTATGTCTATATTCATGTCTATATTTATATGAATATCCTTTAGGGTTGTGGATACGACTTGAGTTGCCATAGGACGTGGTTTCTACCTGCATTCAGGAAAATTTCGGGCTGGGGTCTGTTGCAACTGCTAGTGGCATAATGCTACTTTCGTTATCACCGAAACTCTGCAACGGTACATGCACGCTCGCAGTGGGACTTCCCAATGCTCAGCATGCTGAAAAATAACTGAGGTCAGGGCATAGATGCCCCGTGCCCTGTCCACCTAGCACAGAGACATCAAAGCAGCAGCATGGGTTGGTGTAGCATACCATCAAACTGGCCTCACCGAGCATGGTTTCCATTTTGGCATACCGCACGCAGGCATCTTTGATGCGATCCTGCAGCGTGGCTCAAGGGGACTAAACAGAAGAAGGAAAGGCTGGGGAGTCAATGGTCAATAGAACGTGCACTGGACCAAGCCGGAACACATAAACTCAGGATTATGCGTGGCAGCGGGGGAAGCTTTGAAAAAATCCGACGACGTCGTTGACATGATGAATGCTCGGTGCACGCTCTCGTACCTCTGGAATACAAACGAAAGGGACAACAACTACACATACTACACACTTAAGCTTGGCCACGAATGATGACATGAGGCCAAACAAACCTCGACTCTGTACATATGTTATGTGGCGGTCATCTTTGCTTGCACTGTTGTACACTTGCGTACGACACATGCACACAAACTGTCATGCACTTTCTTGCAACAAGGGTCTTCTACTGTCGACGTTACCACAGGGACTCACTCGGAACTTTCGTAAGGGTCCCGATTCCGACCCTTTGTCGAATAGCGCATGTCCGAAAGCTCTCTGAAGATGGAATATCCGACCTTTAGTCACGGCCACCAAGTAAGGTGAGCCCCTTCACCTGTGGTCTTCATAGTACTGACAACTTCTTGGGGGCTCTAAACGATGTACATGGAACTGCAATGTCTAGCTCTTCGACTGCGTAAAAGAGCGACAGCATCAAAAAACACCATCCCCCGGGTTTCCACCCACCACCGCATCTCCGCCCAAGTCGCATGCACTGTGCTGGGTCAAGGCACAAACCTAGTCACGAGGCCCATACCAAGAGACGAGTGCTTGCTTCAAGCACACCATGAGTGAAGGAAACGTCTCAGACGCAAATGTAGCGCTTATTGCAGCTGATCATCAAAACAGAGCGTAAACAAAGTCCAATGGATTCGAGTGATGCCCTGCAGACAAACGGCTCATAGCGAATCCAATAAAATCCGGCGCGCGCCTACAAAGATGGGCTGGTGGCACAAAAACACGAGTTCATTTCGTCACGCAAACAAGTATGATAAAACTCTACAGGTGCGCGGTCGAGAAGGTCCGACAAATTCTATCACGAAAATGTTCGGCGCAGGGTTTGTGAGGCAGGGAGAAATCCTGTCCCTGTACCTGTTTAATCCCCTCCCCCTAATACTAAACCCCACCCTAATTTTGAATATCATTTTCCCCAGACCCTCCCGGCACCCAGCCCAATACTAAACCTGTTTGAGAATTTGGGGGGGGTCGAGGGCCTCCGCCCTTGAGTTGAGACATTAGGGTTTTCAATTAGGGTTAGGGCTTAAGGCTCAGAGGATTTGCAGGGAAAGCAACCAAAACAACAAAAACGCAAATGAACAAAGCAAAACGAAGAACGAAGAAGCAAACGAGTAAGCACGAATGCAAAATCAAGAGGACGAACAGCAAAGCAACAACAGGACGAGCAAAGTCTTGACGACGTTGGATCTTATGACATACAGGTACTGTGTGGCCGGAATATTCTGCCATCAGGCTCTGTTGATTTCGCTGCTCCGACACGCACAATTTGCCGAACCGTGCTGGCTACATCTACTTCCTCTATTGCTCTGACGTGATCAAGACAGTGCAGGTACCCCAAAGACTTGGGTGCAGAGAACTTCCTTGGGAAGCAATCCCCATCCCTCGCGGCTGACACCCTCACAATGTGCAGGCATTGCACACGTACACTCCAGAGCCACTGTAACTCAAGCAATCATGCTGTGCCCAGGGTCCTGAGGCAGGGCCTCAATCGCTTGATCATAAATCTCACGAGTACGGGTCTGGCCTGTAGTCATCACACAGTCAAAAGCTTGTGGAAGCCGAGGAAATCCGAGGAAGCAACAGCTTGCGAGATAAAAGGATCTAAGGTAAGACTTGGACCGAAGAGCTCAGCGGTCTTGCGCAGCAGAATACCGTACATCTCAAACATGTCCTGGCACTGCCAAATGCATACCGCTGTGTAAAATCAAAGAGCGTCAGGTTGCACTGGCCTTCTCTTCAACTGCTTTTGTGGCCCGATTGTAGATGGACAGCGCGTGCCTGCAAGACATATGATGTGCAGAATGTATATACACATACATGTATATATATATATAGATATATGATACATGGTATACAGCCATTACAGCCAAGGAAGCCCTGTTGAAATCCTGAAAACAGCCACTGTAAGCCTTGCGAGACCGTGCTCCTCCTCAAGCTTGGCATAGAGCATGTGCAGCCTGCGCACGACTTTCTGTACGCAGCCAATCGGGAGCCTGCTCACGACTCTTGCTGGGTTGACGAGGAATGAAACGGGTTCCAGAACCTTCTTGCGAACTTCGACGGTACCTTTGTCAGCGCTCATCTCCAAACAGGAAGAACTTGAAACCATGAAGGTGCGGCCTTCTCCACTGCTTGTTCAAAAAGGTCTCTGGCACGTTCCAGCCTCAATCAACACAGAGAAGCTTAGTGCAAACGTGCAGCCGACATGAAAACAAAGGAACCAGTGGGACTGCGACTTGCGACCACCGTATCGCTCTACGAATTTTGACAAGTATGTGAGCCTGCCACAATCAAAGAAGAACACGCAGATGCAGCAGAGACGACTGCTCTCTCTTACATGGCCCTTTGAAGGCGATAGCATAGAGTATGAGCAGGCAGCCAATGTCACGGCAGGAAGACCAAATATCACCGACATGCGGCCATGAAAACACCTGGACAAGGGTGCTGGCTTCAGCTTACGCTGACAGAATGCCATGTGCCAGCCTTGATACCACGCTCATAGACTTTGAAGGCATCTTCAAAGTACTTTCGGTCCTCTCTTCCAGAGCTGAATGACTGTGGCGAGTCTACAACATGTCTTTCAGTGTGCAACTCAGCTGCTCCTCCAAAAATCTTGCATAGCTCAAAATCAGAGCAGGTGACGCAACCTGCATGAGGAGCCAGTCAACGACTCTTACATGCCGAAGCCTCTCTTCACCACCATCCATAGGTTCACAGCTTCAAAAACAGCCTCACAGTGGCTCATGACACGGCTCTCATAGTCTACTTGCAAACTGAACCGTTTCATTGAGACCCTGGGAGCCACTAAGGGGCAAGGCTAAGGGGCAAGGCTGGGCCGGGCAAGGGGTAGGATCTTTTGTCTGGAGCTTGCACTGACCTGACCAAACAAAACTGCACCTTGAGTTCCAGAGTTGCATCATATGCCGCCTGAGCGATCGATGGCAATAGCGATTATGTCATCTAACTGGTTGAGAAAAAACGTGAAGTTCCTAGGCGTGGACTCTGGTTGATGCAGTGGTTCCCAAAGACCTGAAAAGATGCCACATGTTGATCGAATGTGGCCCGTCCCAAGGAATGTTCTTCTTCCACTAGCAAAAGCAAGCAGTTGAACCTTGGCTGAGGCAAAGGCTCCTCAAGGTCAATGCAGAGCGACCACAGCTTGGTCGATCGGTACAACCGATTCTGAACATCGTCCTGGCCAAGCCAACAGGATTGGGATGCGGGAGAGAGGATAAAGTGTTAAGCCTTGTCTTCTTTCAAAGCCGCAGCTTTCTTCTGGCCGGCGGCTTGCCGTGCCACCTGCAGAAAACATAGCAGACTTCTGACGGGTGCAACTTGTCAGCACACCCTCAAACCAGCTTGTTTGAAGTTTCGAAAAGTGTCAAGACTGATCGTATCCAAACAGCTGAAAATACAATGTGAGCATGAATCAAAGATTCTTGCCAGCTTTGCAAATCCTTTTGATTCTTTCCAAAACCTTTTCAAAACTCTTAATGTTAGATACTTTTTAATGTGTCTATTTTGACTTTCTGTTTGAAAATGTTTTGACTGACGACTCACAGCAATCAACTACTCAACTCTAGTCCTCACTGGAGGCTCGGAGCCTGTGCTTGGCAATTGTTGGAGACTAGTCACACACACAGACACAGACACACACACACACACACACACACACACACACACACACACACATAGAGACAGACACAGACACACCCTCGAACCAGCTTGTTTGAAGCTTCGAAGGAGTGTCAAGACTGCTGAGTACAACGTGGTTGGAACTCCAAAACAGTTGAATAGCCCTGGAGTCCTGAATCTTGGGTGCCCCCCCTCAAATGGCCACCAAGCCGATACCACCCGCATCCATGTGGCTCTCGCCAACGTTAAACAGCTCAGGTGCCAATCTGCAGATCTGCAGCTTGTTGCAAGATTAAGGGAGAGTCGAATTCTGGGCTCAGGGTAAGTGGGAACTTGGGCTTGGAGCATCTTTTGCCCAACCACGGAGGAAAATGCCGACTAGAAGTGTCCTCGAGCCGGTCTCAAGCTAACCCACCACTCACAGAACTCACAACAGTTCCAAATTTGGTTCGGCACAGTGGTTCAAGCTCAACTTTATCTCACACATCAGGGTAGCCTATGGTAACCTGCCACAGCTCCCCACAACCTTCCTGTGGTGAGTGGTGCTGACTGCACGTGCCTGGGCCCCCAACTAACTTGCCCCACCTGCCCCACGGTCAAAGCGCGTTTCGGGTCCGCCCGACCGTGAACGGGGGTGTGCGTTTCAGGTCCGCCGTGCGTGGCCACGGAGGTGCGTTTCAGGCTCTGCTGGACTGCGTTTCGTACAGGCCAAGGTGCGTTTCAGGTCCGGCACCACCAGAGAGCCACAAGTCCGAAGCCCCTGAAGCCACCCGCTACAAGCCATGTCAGGCCGCGTTCAGGTTTATAGGGTTTATTGTATTTATAGGGTCCAGGACTTATAGGGTTTAGGGGCTTTGGCATCCAATACAGTAAAGTCCTTGGTTTAGGCTACCTAAACTTATCACCTAAACTGAACCCTAAAGCCCAATCAAACGTTAACCCTTAACCCTAAACAGCGCCGCCCAAGGTGTATTTAGGGACTCTATAAAGTTGTACCCTTGGGTTGAGGGACCCTTTTCAAGATCCTCTGGGGAGAATGAAGAGGGGTCCAGACCAGCGAGGTACCGGCGCTGAGTTGACACTTTGTGCCGCCCTAAACTAAAACCTAAAACCTAAACCCTAAACCCTAAACCCTAAACCCTAAGCCCTGAACCCTAAACCCTAGACCCTCAACCGAAAACCCTAAACCGTAAACCCCAAACCCTAAACTCAAAACCCTAAACCCTAAACCCGAAACCCTAAACCCGAAACCCTAAACCCTAAAACCTAAACCCCAAACCCTAAAGCCTAAACCCTAAACCCCCTAAACCTTACAACCTAAACACTAAGCCCTAAACCCTAAACCGTAAACCCTAAGCCCTACACCCTAAACCGTAAACCCTAAACCGTAAACCCTAAACCCTACACCCTAAACCCTAAACCCGAAACCCTAAACCCGAAACCCTAAACCCTAAAACCTAAACCCGAAACCCTAAAGCCTAAACCCTAAACCCCCTAAACCTAAACCCTAAACCCTAAACCCTAAACCGTAAACCCTAAGCCCTAAACCCTAAACCGTAAACCCTAAACCGTAAACCCTAAACCCTAAACCCTAAACCCCAAACCCGAAACCCTAAACCCGAAACCCTACACCCTAAAACCTAATCCCCAAACCCTAAACCCTAAACCATAAGTAGTGCGCCTGAAATGCACCATGTGTGCGTCTGAAATGCCCCCTGTGTGGTTCTAAATTGTGTCCCGTCTGGTTCCTGAGCACCGGACCTGAAATTGGTACCTGAAACGACCCTAGGTGCGTCAGAACCGTACAACACTCCCTGCCCCACAAGTCCCTCTTGTACCTCACTCCTCACTCCGGGAAGTGCACAAGTGGGCAAGTGAGGCAGGCGCAAATAAGGTGAAAGTGGGCCAAGAGAAGAAGCAGGGCAAGTACATACAGGCTATCTATGCTGCTGGAACGGGGCAAGTGGGGTGGTGCGTCTCAGCTGCGCCTGCAATGCAACATCAAGCTCATTGCAAAGCCTTGAGTGCTTCGTCGTACTCTTTGTGGCGGAGCTCCATCTCGATCCACTCACACCAGACCTTCGCACTTTCGACCAAAGATCCGTCATCTGTTCTCTTTTGCAGAGCCCACGATACTTGGGCTTGGACGGAGGCTAAGTCATCAACCCCTCGATACTTCACCTGCGTCGCCTGGGCGTTCGGCATTGAAGCAGCCAACACAGACACGTGTGAATCAGAGCGTGGGCAGCTGAGAAGCCATCCTTCGAAAAGATCACACGAGCGTTCTCCAAATCATCATGCGACTCGTAGAACTGCAGCATGCAAGATTCTCGCGAAGCTAAGTTCCTTTTACATTCAGTTGGCAAAGGATACAAGCAGGAGGCGCCACAGGCCTTTGCAAAAGCCGCCCACAAGGTCCACAAGCGACCTTCTGCCTTCCGAGGATCAGGATGTAGGGTTCAGGGTCTAGGGCTTTTAGGGTCTAGGTGCAGGCAATAGAGTTTAGGGCTCTAATGAATGCATAGCTATGCCACAGACATATTCTCATCCGTAGGGCTTGCAGTGTCCTATTTCTTTGTCCAGTTGCTTTGGTGTGGCTTTTCTGCTTCGTTACAACCTGTTACACGTCAACATCGATGCACCTTTTGCTAGGGCTTGCGCGGGCTCAAAAAAGCTCAAGAATGCTCAAAGATGTATCTTTGAGAAAACCAGGGCTTTCAACGAACCACTTTCAAGTAGAAATTTAGGGTTCAAAAGCAAAGAAAGCGGCAAGAGAAATGAAACAATGGCCATGCCTTCTGAGGATCCACGGTCATGACCTGGTCGGGTCATTTGCATTGCGGCCTTTCCACCACGAGCGCACCGCGACTAACAGCCAAAGCAGCCAGGCCCCCGGCGGCTTCCGTAAAGCAGCGAATGACCTTCTCTGGTGAATCCTGAGATTGTGAGGCATCAAGCTGGGGTGTAAGCATTAGCTAAAGCGGTCCTTGTACAGCTTCGCTCGCTGCAGCCATTCGTGGACATTGTGAGGGTTTTGCCGCAACTTGACTGACCTGGCATTCCGGGAGACATCTCTTTTGAAAGCAAATGCCGAAAAGTTTGCAAACGCAAAGCCGCGGAACCCAGCTCACCAGAAACCGAGACCACTACGACACCAGCTCGGGTCTCCTTCCCAATAAGTCCTGCATCAGAGTTCTTGGGATGCGTGGAGCCAATATGAGCCATTCAAGGCAGCAGTGGCAGCATCCTCCAAGCGCATCATTAGCAGGTCAGCTTCGGCTGCCGAGACTGTTGATGCCTGAGAAAGCTCTCAACCCAACAGGACGCATCCAACTCAAATCGAGTAGGCTGACTCTCCAGCATTGAACCGGCCTCTCGTTCCATGTGCGCAGAGATCAGACTTTCCAGAAACTTGGCATACCTGTCAACATGAAACTTGGAGCATTCTTGCAGTCATGAAGAACCAGGACCTGTCAGGTCCCACATGCAAGAACCGTCAAAGGAACCTTTTCATGGCAAACCTGTCTATAACAGGCCTTTTCAGGCTTTAATGCAATTTCAACGGTCCAGGATAGTGTTGTCACCGTAGATGGTCCCAGGAAACGAGTTGGCAGCTGCGCAACATCATTGTTGGTATGGGCGCACGCTTCGAAGATGAGCGAAAAGTCGTGCACCTCTTTGCGAAGGCTTCCGGGCAGACCACAAGACCACAAGGCCGAGAGGCCGTGATGCTCTGTGATCTCTATGGTTCGAGGCAGGGACCGTGCTGACTGTCGCCATGGCTTCCTCGTAGATGTCGCGGGCTTTCTCGAACTGACCAAGCCTGGAGCCCAATTTGCACGGCGACCAATTACTCATTTGCGATTCATGCGATTCAATGCGATTCAATGCGATTCAATGCTATTCTGGGTGGGAGATACGCGACCAAATTGCATCTTGCTATGTGCGCTTCCTGATGAAGTGGTCGCCAAGGGAAATCCACAGGCGGCCCACCTTGCCACCCCATTCCAAGGTGATGATGCTGCTCCCACCTACACCTTTGTTGGTCACTGCCTCATCCGTGAATTGTCGGATTCCGCTGCGAATGATCGACCTTGCTGACTTACACAGCTGTGCCAACGTTAGCGTTGTGGACTCTCGGGCTGCTCACCACTCACCACTCAGGCACGGGCTCTATATTCAAAGACTTGATGTCTGCGGGATGTTTGGAGACCTGGCGCAGCAAACTCCGCAGCTGGCTGCGCTTCGATTTCAGAACATGTCAACGATGATACGATTGATACGTGCATCATCGTCCATACATGTACGAGTCCAAGCTTTTGCACACGCTGCACAGCTCGCTGAGCTCGCTGAGGCCAATGCAAGATCGCAGAGATCCATCCAAAGCTGGTGGCGAGTCTTGCCCTCCATGGAGCTGAAGTCCTGCTTCTTGCCACATGTTGCCACGGTGTGCCCACTCGGGCCATGGGACTTGCGGCACCTCATCATCCACCACACTGGCTAACTTCTGTGCAGCCTCATCATAGCGCCTGCACAAGCACATCTGATGTCACGACGGTGCTCTGAACAACATGAAGGTCCGGGAGGAGCACCCGATCGTGCGCAGGTACGCGATGTAGATCTGGCCATGTTTTCTTGCTTGAGATGTTTCCCGTGCATGGACGAGTAATGACGAGCAGCATCGAGCAGCCCTGCCCTCGGCAAACTTGCCTCGACATGATCGGGCTCGAGCATGAGATATCTCCGGAAAGCGCAGAGTGCCGTCTCCTGCACAACGTCCACGCCACCGACCCTTGCCTAAAGAAGGTGCTCAGCACTCTGGCACTTTCGAGTCGAGCATCTGCCGGTCAGCAGCGGATTCGGAAATTGAAAACGTGCGGATTCGGAACCACCAAAAAAAAGATTCGGGAAACATCGAAAGCAGAGTCGGGAAACTGGAAAACACGGATTCGAAAACCGCGGATTCGGGAAACTGGAAACCACGGATTCGGGAAACTGCAGATTCGGAAATCACAAAGTTTCTGAAAGCATCCTTGCCATGAAAGCTTTCACGCACCTTCCCCTCTCCCTCCCACCCACCCCTCCCCCCCACCCCGCGCATCGGGCAGTTTCCTGAATCGCATGAAGCCCGTTTCCTGCATCGCTTGGCTTCCTGAAACGCGGTTTCCTGAATCATTCTATCATATTCTATCGCACAATCCGGTTTCTGAATCGCACCATCCAGTGTCTGAACCACGCTATCCATCCTTCGCGAGGCCTGCCTTGTTGTCAAAACTGCTCGACTCTTGGCATCTCTAACAGAGCCGCCGTAACCAAGACAGCAGCAAGTCGAACAAAATGGAACATGATTCCCGTCCGGAAAAAGGCAGAAGATTCAGGCAGCGAAGATCACACAAGGGTGGCCAATATCGACCTCACAATCGAAGATGCATCTCAGGCTACCACTCGGGGCGCTAAGCTTTTGCCGTAGGCGGTGGGATGTGGTGGGGTACTGGGGCATGTCTTGTAGATTCGGTAGCTTCTAGATTCGGTAAGGGCAGCAGGGCGATTTCTGTTGAGGTCGACAAAGAACACGCCCCAACACAACCGTCCTTACGGTGACTTCAGCGGACACTAATGATTCAAAATGATTCGCATTGCTGTTGTTGGCTGTTGGCTGTTGGCTGTTGGCTGTTGGCTGTTGGCTGTTGGCTGTTGGCTGTTGGCTGTTGGCTGTTGGCTGTTGGCTGTTGGCTGTTGGCTGTTGGCTGTTGGCTGTTGGCTGTTGGCTGTTGGCTGTTGGCTGTTGGCTGTTGGCTGCTGGCTGTTGGCTGCTGGTTGTGGAGTGCTGGTTGCTGGTTGCTGGTTGTTGGTTGTTGGTTGTTGGTTGTTGGTTGCTGGTTGTTGGTTGTTGGTTGTTGGTTGCTGGTTGTTGGTTGTTGGTTGTTGGTTGTCAGTTGTCGGTTGTTGGTTGGTTGTTTGTTGTTATTGTTGTTGTTGTTGTTGCTGCTGCTGCTGCTGCTGCTGTTGTTGCTGTTGTTTTCCACAATCTCCCCACATTCCTCCGCCAAATGTTGGGTTCGAACCTTTTTGTTCGGTCCAAAGCCTTGTAACAAAAGCAGACAACAAAAAATGGCAACGCGCCAAACAAAAAAAAACTTTTGCAACATAAGTGATTTGATGGAACACACATAAAAACGGTTTTAACAGGCAATTAAACTGCCAAACACGCACGTTCATCCGCAAGAGCCCTGTGCATGGCTGTCAACTGAAGAGATTGCATTGATTCAAAAGCATGACAGAATTCGAAGGGTTGCTCCTTCGGAACCTCGCCATCCTTTATGAACTTGACGTACAGCTCCTGCAGGAGCAGCATGTGGAAGTGAAGCTACGGGAAAAGAGCTCTGAATAGCTCTGAGAGCGTGCCCAGATGCGAGAATGCTGCGTGATGGGCAGTGACCGCAAAGCCTAAGCATGGGTTGTGCCATGGTTGTGCTTGAAAAGAAATGCGGACCTGACCGTGACAACCTCGGGATCCAGCACTGTCTAATGCTCGTCGTGCGCGTGTGATCTTCTTCTGCTTCATCAGGAACTCAATATACTCAAGCCTGGTTCGGATGTTCCGTTGTAGCGTGCTGGGTATGACCGCGTATGACCTACCCAAGCAGGTGTTCAACACCAAACCCGGTCAGACACGCAGCATCAACAGTGGCTGGTGTTGGGATGAGACCCTGCTGCGCGAAGGGAAGCTTCGACAACAAGCCAGTACAAGTTGCAGAACACAGGGCATTCGTTCACATGCTGAGCTCGGAGCCAGATGCGCGGCATTTTGTGCAGAAACACCAATGCACGCTCGAAGGCATTGTTTGCAGCCTACTTCACGGCAGCATGGCAGTAGCTTTGACGGCTGGAGCCAAGGCGCATGATAGCAAGACCCAAAGGGGTGCCTCGTACTCACCATCTAGAACTGACAACCCCTTCACCTGCATACACGTGCAGCCATGATGTGGGAAGAGTGTCTCCAAACTAACCGCATCCGACTCCAAGCTGAGACCACCACGCTGCCCATGCGCAACCTGAAACTCGCAAGTGGTCCAACAATAGCTACAGCCGCAGAGAGGTTTGTCAGAACAAACCTATTTTCCATAATTCTCGGCACCGCTGGGCAAGGCTCCGACTGAAGGTAGGCATGCCAAAGCTTGTACGAACCAGGAAGCTCCTGCACATAACCCATCCAAGAATCCAAGCAGCTTGCGGCGCGGTGCGTCGGAAAGAACCAAGAACGCATTCATAAGACTGAGCTTGCAACACGTTGTCTGACATGATAAAGGTTGTGTCTCGAGGCATGCTGTCTACTATGCACTGCGAAACCATTCAAAGGCTCTGTCTCTCTCTCTCCCTCTCTCTCTTTCTCACATGCCCGGAGTTGCAACGATGCTGGTGCATGCGTGCGTGTGTGTGTGTGTGTGTGCAATGCCAACGAAAGTCCTTCACGGCCCGCTCGTAAATCAGATAGCGCACTGGCAAAGGTGCCTCAGCCTCATCATCTCGGCCGCAAACTCGCACAATTTAGCTCTCTCTGCACACGGTCATGTACAGACCCTGGCAGCTCTACAAAACAATGTCTATCGTCTTAGTCACAATAGTGGTGGCCTTGGCTTTCACATAGGCACACCACAGTCTGACCTGCAAGCAGAAGCGTCTCTGACCAGCAAGCGCCTCTGAACAGCAAGCTTGGCGTGATGATGTTCTAGGTGAGCGACACTGTAGGGATTTACCTGAAGCTCTTGCTCGTAAGCAACATCTGTTTCCCGCCTTGGTGCTCAAATCAACGAGCAAACCGAGCTTCCAATATTAAGTAGATCACAATACGACTGGGCTCCCAACAGCACATCATCTGAAATGGCCTGTCTCGACTGTTGTCACACAGACCAAGCCCCACACACACACACACACACACACACACAAAAAAAAAAAAAACTGAAAACGACATTGGGTCAAATTCTTTGCCATTCTCTGACCTCCCAGGAGTCCATCACAGGCGTGGCCACGGCCCGGACCTGAGAGCAGTTCTGGCATGCTCTGCGGCATGCTCAATGGTGTGCCCATGTGTGCCCTGTGAAACTGACAGAAGACTGTTTTTGGATTGATTTTCAATGAAGCTCGGAAAGCTCAATTTCCAAGGGCCGAACCGCCTCCACAGCCGCGGTTCGCTAACGAGCACATATAACAATTTAACACCCTTTGCCTTACCACACAATCGCCTGAAAGTTTAGATAGCAATTTTGCCTAGGCCGGCACCATTACTAAAGAAGTTCCACATAAGGAGCACATGTGATTCTTGCGTGCACTCCTACCTGCATCTTGAACAGCTTGCGAGTCAAGCAGGCTGATGTGATGTCATTGATCCTCCCTTTCGCACAAGCTGTGTTTGCTAAACTGAATGGCAATAAAAATGGCAACAAACTTTCACACCGCCCACTTGAGCGTCTTGGAAACCAGGCCGTGTGAAACAAGCATCAATGCTTCAAGCATAGGTTGAAGACCTCGTCATCCTGACCATACACCGTCTCATGCACGTGATCATGTGAAGAAAGCATGCAAGTTCCACGTGCGCCTCATCGAGGACCTGACGGCAAATAACTTCCACGGAGTCATCCACCTAACAACCGATGATAAAAATCTAGATCCTAGTGCCTCCTTCCAACAATGCTGCAAATTCAGAATGCTGATCAACAACCGCCTCCAAGTCAAACGAATCCACCATGACGCGCAGCCTTGGCTGGGGGCAAGGAGGACTCTTGCATTGTCCAGATCGCTTCACTGCAAATGTTTTGTTGCAGATCAAGAGCAAAATACAAACTAAAACATGTCATGCATGTAAGAAACGAAGATGATTCTGTGCAGTACGCAAAAATTAGCAAACCATCCTGAAGCGAAGCTTCATCACAACGCTGGACATTGACACTTGACTCACCCGATGCACACAGCATAAAAACACGGCAGTATGCAACATAATGCAACGACTCACTGTTGCACAAGAAGATCTAAGCCGAGCGCTTCCTCAAAGTTTCATCGGCATGGTGCTTTGCGGAGCTGACCGCTTCGACAGCGGCGCGATGCCGCAGGCAAAGTAAACCTCAACTCAGCACAACAGCACAACACTGCGACTTGTCCAGCCCAGAAACTTCCCATGATGATTCCGAACGCAAGCAGTAGAACGCAGGTATTAGAAGGTCCCAGTCCCGCACAGTCTTTCTTGCGCCTCTCTTGCAAGCGACGGAGACACCGCCTAAGTCAGTGGCGAGCCAGCAATCCGTCGATCACATGAACACAAGGGCGTTCGCTCATGGTGGGGCGCACAGTAGGCGAATTCATATAAGATGCTCACAACAGGGCCAATGCACCATGCAGCTTGACCTCAGCAATCAGGCTACAGGCTTCGTGCTATCAAAAATACTGTGTCGAGTGTGTGCAAGACCCTGTGCATGCGGACCAATTCCCAGCCTGTGAACCTACTCAAAGAAACCCTCTGGCTGTCCGATCCACATTCAAGCTAAAGGGGTCTTGTGGTGGAGGAAAACTTACGGATGCATCGGCTGGAAAACGTGTACCAGATCCTCAAAACTGCCCAAACAGCATCATTTGGAAACCATCCCCTGAGGCCGAAGCTCGCCACCTCAAATCTGCCAATTTTGCTAGGCTTAGCTCGGCGAAGCGAGTCACCTCGGCTTGCATGTGCCTGCACACATACAAGTTGCGCAGCAGAACACGCCACTCAAGACAGCCATGCTACAACTTCAGCAACGAATCTGTCCAAGCTACATTTCCCCAACCATGCCCACTGCTGAGCAATACTGGCCTGGGCTAAAAGATGCAAACGTGCACGAGCTTGCATCTCACATGCTACAACACATGCGCTGTCACGCACAGCACTTGGCCGTGAACTGGGGACCAAGTTCCAACGCGGCAACGTTCATAGGCAGCACATTGGCGGCCATGATGGTATGTCCATGTTTGCAGCAACTTATAAGACCTGCCGTTTTATGATGCTACATAACATAAAACTGCTAAGGTTTGCACACCGACCAACTTAATCGTTCCGCCAATCTGCTGAAGCTCATGCGACATGTCGCGGACACCCTCACCGAGTGCGTGCTTTGGGCATGTCATGCAGTAAAACTACACAACAATCTTGTCCAGGCCTGAGCGATTCTTGCTGTTTTGACAAGAGTTCCCAAACGGTTCGTGGAAAACGCACGAAACCCGTAAAACCACGTGATGAGGGAGGAGGTCACCAGCAAAATCGCCACAAAAAGCACGCACAAGGCAACTGCAACTGCGACGCAACACCCTTGCAAGTCCTGTTGGTCGGACCAGCCCACGAAATCTCAAGCTTGACTTGGCGGAGGCGCTCGAGCTTGATCAAAACCCCCGGAGCATGTACCACCGCACATCTTGCCCCTTGCACCGATTGGCGGAGCAGCCTGTGCCACAGATCTGTGGATTCTATTCTTCAAAAGAAATCCACTCAAACTCCCATCGTTGCAATCCCAATGCATTTGAATTTATTTTCACACATATTTCAATCCCATATATCTGGAATCAATGCCCTTATATGCTTCAACATCGCGAAGACTCACGCTCATTCTTGTTTCTCATAAGAGGCTCTGGGGCAGGTCGCGGTGAAGTACTTGCATACGTGTATGGACCAACGGTCTCACACCACACGGGGGCACCAGCTACGACTCGCACCACACACGTGCATGCACCCGCTTCTCCCTGGGTGGCAGGTGGGAAAAGAAAAGAAAACCTCGCGGTTCTCTAATGCCCCAACTTGAAATGGCATTCCTTGGCGCAACTCATAAATATAAATGCACAATGCACATGCATAAATACCGGTCCGTGCAATGCCATGACTGCAAACTTGCATGTGCACTCGTACGCCTGCACTTGGGATGACAAACGAAAAGACATTGAGTTTGTTGTTTTTCGTCCCCGAAACACAACAAATTTCTTTTCCAGAATAACGTGAACATCCTTCGGATTGTTACACATCCTGCGCTGCTGAAGTGCCTTCTCCCGCAGTTGCCCATCGCAAATCACGCGGGCGCAGATGTACTTTTGCTTGTTACCGACGGCAGACCTTTTCTGCAAATACCGCATTTTCCCTACTTCCTGAAACGTCACTAGCGCTATTAGGTGAGATGGAGGTGGTGGATGCGCAGGCTTGTAGCACTGCCCCGGCGACCCCATGGAGCTGCTCACCCGACGGTTCTGCACCTTCGGGAGCAAGGTGCCCGCGATCGATTGGGTCGTCTGCGTTACGCCCAGAGTCAAAAACTTGTTCGCACGACTTTGGCACAAATGACCAAGCTGCCGTTCTGGATTATGTACAGCGTTGCTGACACGGCTTACGCACGCAAGTAGAGCAGCTTGATTAACTGTGTCCCAGGCCGACCTTCGAGGTGCCCGGGTGAGGAAATACACCTAAAGCAGGCTCTACTCCAGGCGAGTGGGGTCCAGTGCGCACTAAAAGAAACCATCACAAATCCTCGTTTTCCAAGGGCGTTGGCAGCGACACTTCTCGCTGGGATCTCCTCTGTCAGGAAGCAGCACAGCCACTCCAGTGATGCTGGCCCAACGCCTGGTACAGCCTCTCCCAAAGCGTCCAGCCAAGCTAAGTGACCACCGAGTGAATGAGCGAGTTCTGCCGCGGCAACTGCGTCGCTCGCGGACCGACGCCTCCGGCCCCGGCGCTGCAAAGAAGCGCGGAGGCCCTGCAAGACGAGGGATTTGCACATGTAAGACCACGCAGCTCCCTCCGTCCTGGTCGTGGAGATCCATGCTTCCGAGTAAGGCGCCATCAGTCTCCCGGCCGGCTGCTGACGACTCGAAGATGCTGCCGCCGGTGACCAGGCCGCGACTCATTCCAGCAAGTTGCCCCTCCTGCACCTCCGTGTCCGAAACGGGGGCGGACGCCTACGTTGCTTTCCACCTGCAGGGTTAGCCTGAGCATAAATCGGTAAAGGGTCTGCAGCATCAGGCGCAAATTCTTGCACGCAATCAGTCTCCCCTCCACTGCCGTTATTTTCGCTCACGGATGCGATTCCGGCTTTGCGCTGCGCCAGCGAGCGCGGATGTCCCCGCTGGCAACGTTGTGGGCCTGACAAAAATCGGATGGCAAACCAAAAACCCTGTTGCGCTCCAACCCTGAGAAGTCGTTTAGGGAAA